GTGCAAGAATTTGATGGTGGGAGACAAAGGCTGAGAAGTGAGAACAAATAGAGATGAAATGGGAGTAAATGGGATGGCTAGGGTTTTGTGTTTAGAAATCTTATAAAGAATTAAAGATCCAGAATCAGTATAAATATTATCTAATACGATTACAGCAACACAAAGCTTGTTGTCAAGTTGGCTAAAGCAAACACTCTCAACCTAGAGGTAAAGGGTTCAAAACATCTAGCCTCTAGATTTTGAGTATTTGTATATGATTTATATAATTAATATATATTAAATAATTAAATATAAACTGGTTTGGTTTGGTCCAGTCCATTTTTTGGACCACCAAAATCAAAACCGAACCAACCTATTTCGGTTCGGTTCACTTAGTTTGGTTTGGTTTTTTTTTCGACTTCGGTTGAGTGTTCAGCTCAGTTTTTTTTGTGGTTTTCGATTTTTTAAACCCACCCCTAGTCTCAAGTATATCCTCATTGATAAATTCTAAATATTCCCTAACCTTCTTTCTCTGGAATCCTTTTTCTTGTTGTACAAAGGTCCTTAAAAAATTTGGCATACTTCGGAATTTGCTTTATCGCATTAAGAAGTTGAATAGTAACTTGAAATTTTCGGAAGGTTTCTAAGTGTCTCTTTCATGATCTTTTTTCTTATTAGACTGAGCAAAGCTTTAAGGGAAAGTACATTTGGATTAATAAGGTTCAAAAGAATTGAATTTTGAACAATATTACTTGTGTTGATTGGCAATGGAGTGGAGGAGGCTGCGAAATTGAGCTTGGTGGTGGGGGGGGGGGTTGCCGCAACGATTGCTCCTTCATTGCCATGGCTGGAACATTCTCATCATCTTCAAACAACAATTGTTCGTCCTTTTTTTTGCTTGTTTGGACGTCTTTGGCTCTTCCAACCTCCTTACCATTTCTCAAAGTGAACCTTTACTGGTCTCAAACCTCTTGTCAGATTGACAATAAGTGAGCTAAGAAGTTTGTCTTGTCCTCAAATTTGTCCCATGAATTCTCCTATTTTCTCATTTGATTTTTCAACTTCGCCATCTATCCAATTTAATTCTTCATGTTGACCATCTCTTTAGCTTGGTTTTGTAGACCTTACGTCAAAGTCGTTAGTGTTTGAAGAATTTTGTCATGATCAACATATATACTTGGATTTGGATCAAATTGTTGTAGGGGAATTTGTGGTGGCTGCATAGGTCTTGATAAAACCCTTGAGGTGGCTGCCAAAATCCTCCTTGTTGAATTTGTTGAGGTTCCCTCCACTTGAAAATTGGATGATCTATCCAACCTGTTGTGAGTGTTGAAAAACGGATCGTTCCTTGTTGATTATGGCCTTGATAACCCATGACATTAACACTTCTCCAAACTCCATTCTCAATTAATTAAGAACATTGATTAGTTTGATATCCTTGCCTAGAAGACACATCAAATGTCCATAGTTTGCATTTTGGTGCCTTGGATAAACTGTGACATAAGAGAAGTAAGATTAGCCATTTGAGCTTCAATTTTTGATAGATTGGTAGCTTTCATGTCTTGCTTCTCTATTGCCTAAAATGAAAGAAAATTAAAACGTATCAAAGATCAAAAGAAAAAAAAACAAAAAAACACTGAGGGATTAGCAATTTTACTAATCCCTAGCAACGGCGCCAAAATTTGATATGCTAAAAACTAACACTCAAAATAAACATGCAAACAATGTAATTGTAGTACGGGTCAGTAGGGATCATTTAATCCGGGGATTAGAAGGGTTTCTAATCAACAAAAACTAAACTAAACAAGTAAATAAATGGGGTTTTTTAATGAATTGAACTAAACTAAATTGTAAACTGAAATTAACAACTAAACAAAAGTAAATGAAATCGTGAATAATCTACTTGTAAAAGGAATTTCACCCACTATTATTCCTAAAAAAATGAAATTATCTTTCTCCCACTACAAAGTCTTTTCAGATAATAATCTACTAGTAAATGAATTGTGATAACTCGTCCTTACTTTTACAATTTTATTAATTTTAAATGAGTGAATTGAAGAAAATGCCCTAGAGGCTAGGTTATTGACTTCCGTTGACCGTTAGTTCGTGACACGTATGAACTATTATTTTACCGTCCTCCCGAAGTACTCGACGATACGAACGCGTAGGCATAAGCGGAATCGAAACTGAAGTTATAATAGGAGTTTTAAGGAACTACAAATCCGAAAAGTACGTTTGTAAAAATTACCATTTATTATTTTATATATTTCTCATAATTATTATATTAATATTTTTAAAATTATTTTGTCATGATATTATTATTTTAATTGTAGCTGTAAGGAATGAGGGAAAGAAGAAGGATGGGCGGAGGAAAAAAAACGAAAAGAGAGTTAGGGGGTGGTTTGCCCAATCAGAGAGAAATGAGGAGAGTGAGACCCAATCGGAAAGGAGGAGAAGATAGAGAGTGAACCAACCAGAAAACGGAGAAATGAGAGAAAGGAGAGAAATGAGAGAAATGAGGAGTAGCTGATCAGGTCTCGACCCGTTTGCCATTGCGACCTAGTTTCCTGAACTGGTTATGGCGCCATTTTTCGACCAGATTTCGTCGGTTTTTTCAACGATTTGCAACCATCCACCAACATGAATCAACTCAAAGACCTCCCATCTTCATTTCTCCCTCAAACCTAAGTTAATTTGGCTATGAAATTGTGAAGAAGTGCACGGTGGCACCGAGAGCACCATGAATGATGATCCACCGATCCCACAACCATCACCATCGATTAGCAACCTTGTTCACCTTCTCTGGAGGTCAAGAGCAAAGCCCAAACAAGTTTGGGGGCGGAGTTGCAAATTCGTCGAATCAAAGCCACCCTTTCTAGGGTTTTTGATAGGTGCGAGCTAATTTGGGACCTTTCTTGGCCAAATTGGATTTGACCACAAGTATAAAGCTTGCTCTACTCATTGAGATCTTCATTCTGGTAAAATTTGAGAATTTTTGGAATTAGTTGAATTTTTCGGCGAGTCGGAGCGGCTGACCACCGCGTGGGCCGAGACCCCACATGCCCTTAGAAACATACGGATCAGGAATCCGACGTACGGATCTTCTCAAATTGGATTTGTAAGTTCGTAAAATTAAACGTCTACCGCCACTTGAATTCGTGATTGGTGAAGATCCGATCGTTGGATCTCAATGAAATTTTAATATGTTATTCTAGAAGTATAATGTGTATTTATGGAACTTACAGATTAGAAATCCAAGCTGCATCTATTCCAGATCGAGTTACGTAGGGTTGTGGACCCTACCGTCGACCTTTGACCGACGGTTGACTTTTGGTCAATGAGTTTCAAATCATTCTAGAATATCCTTGGGGATGTGTTTTATGTAAGTTATGTGTTCTATCGATAAGAATTCTGAGAAGTGATTTGATATTGTTCTAGGCGACGATTGATATGAATGTTAGTATGTTGATAAGAACTATCAAATCACAGTGGTATGCTTAAATTTATGTAGTCTGCTCATCATTGCTGCACCCCGGTGTTAGTGCTCGCCCCAGGCCAGGGCCAATCTTTCACGTGTATATTCACCTCCGCACCGCATGCTTGCCTTGGATCAAAGTAGGTGCCAATCCTATTGTACATGTCACATTAGGCGACTCCGACTCATAGGTGACCACGATTATCACCAGTCTTCACGTCATTGTAGCACTAGAGCGTATATTATGATTACACCCAGTCCTATCATACATGTCGCATTAGGCGACTCCGACTCGTGTGCTAGCATAGATTGATGAGCATTAGTTTAGTCGTACAGGTTGCATTAGACGATTCCGACTGGTGTGCTAGCATAGGTTGTTGAGCACCTGATTTTACTTATATTACTGTTGAGATTTTGGGAATGTCATGCCTTATTTATGTTTTGCAGGCTACAGTAAGTATTTTTCATACTATACGTAGTATTTATATTTTGGAAACTATACATGTTTTACAGCAAGAGGTTATAAGGTTTTCAAAAGGTTTTTATTAAAACTTTATTTTCAGGCCTACTCACCCTTATTTTTTGCCATTCCAGGTTTTAGCAGTTGAACTTTCGTATCGATGAGGTTTCTTGGCAACCTTAGTATAGGTGGCTACCTATGATGGTATAATCTTTATCTTACCTTACGGTACTTTACTTATACTCTGTCATCACGTGTGAAATGGGTTCATTCCCGCTCACCAACTCACTCTTATACTTAGGCACTTTTAGGTTTAAATTTACTCACATTTTCCATAGCACTACATTTTATGGCTTTGTCAATTTCCAAGTGTTGGCCAACATAACTCGAATCGGAATCCTAATGGACATTCCAGTTTGGGGTGTGTAATGAATGACCTCCAATGCTCTGCTACTATGTGATTATGCACTCCAATAACTACTATCAATATCCCATTACCTTAAGTTGCTAGCTTCTTTAATTGGAAAGGGCATCCACACTTTTTCATTCCATAATTCCTTCTAACCTCATACTTTATGTCTTTTTTGCAAATTCGGCTTGCATATTGTTCATTCCTTTCACAACCTAATGTAAGATTAATTTTCATTCACATATAAGTGAGAATTTCTATTCGCTTGTACGTGAGAGATCTTATATTCAATTATCATTAATGACAAATTTGAACCGCATTATTATTAATTCATTATAAAACATAACTCATTCCTCCACCCCTCTAGTATAAATATTATCGTTTGTTAAAAAAAAAAATCATTTTATTCATTACCTTGCTAATGCTCATTATCTGTCACTTCGCCATCACAGTCATGCCAACCTTTACAAAAAGGGATGACAATTTATAGGCAATCAAACGCAGCCAAAAATAAATAAAATAAGGACACGTACAACATAATTACGTACATAAAATATTCGATAACCTGGAAAAATTCCACTGTTACTATTATTTTAATTTTAAATTGAGAAATAATTAATCATATAAATACGAGTGCCTCGGTGCCGTTAGTGTACACGTCAGCACAAAGAAAACTATTTACAGAGAGAGAGAGAGAGAGAGAGAGAGAGAGAGAGAGAGCGCGTTGTGTATTTAGTCTGGAATTCATTCCTCTCAGCTTTCTTCTTTCTTCGTTCTTCTCTCTGGACACGACACCTTTTTGATATCCACGCGGCATCGTTTCGGATCCAATCCCAGCTTCAACTGCCACTGTTGGCGGTAAAACTCCTCCGAATCAGGCGTGACACGTTCGTCACAACCCACTTATCACATCTCTCTCTGCCCACAACCGTAGTTTCAAAACGGTCGAATTTTCAGAAAATTCTCCCCCACCGCCACCGTGTCAGCCGTTGGTTTCAGCGTCTTGGATGGAGAAATCGAATATTTACAGAGGCAGTTACACTAACGGAGCTTACCATCCAACCTTCTCTTCCTCTTCTCGCGCCGATGTCAGTTACAGGTGCCATCTCTCTCTCTCTCTCTGAAACTATTCTTTTTATTTTTAATTGGTTGAATTTGTCTTTGTATTTGATACGATCGCAATGGAAATTGGATATTTGATCTCTTGGTGCTTTTAATAGTTGATTATATTTAGTTAATTAATAGAGAAGGAGTGAAAAATGGAAAGAATTGGCAGGATTTATTTTGTGTTTGTTGGCGTGGAATTGTTGAAATTGATTGGGACCAGAAATTCTTTAGACTAAACAAATAAGGAAAGATTTCTGAGATCTGTGAAAAGGGTCCTCAACAAAATTGCAAAAATGGTGTTAATTGGAAGAAAAGGGAAATTTAAATGAAACATTCTTGCAGTTTTTGATATTTAAATTTCAGTTCTTTGAGATTGCAATTGCTTAATTTGTTTCTTGTTGGGAATAGTCGAGTGCAGTTTTGCTTACTTGCCACCCATGGCCACCGCATTGATTCTAGTTAGATGAGTGTGATTTAATCTCAAAATTTAAAATCAACTTATGACAATCTATGCGGTGGTATCGTCACCACGTAAGAGTGGTGGCGAGCAACAATATTTTTGAAAGAGTGGGATAGAGTATTTACGGCAGCTATTATCGCACTCCTCCTTTTAGCCACGACACTTCAAACTGAATATTTCATAATTTTATCTACACTCGCTGAAGGAGTGCAGGAAGTAAAAAGAAAAAAGTAGTGTTAAGATTACTGGCCAACATTTACGATCTATCTCTCGTTTTGCTACTTTAAGTTTTGCTATAGTGGATTAGTGGTAGAGCAATTGCCTCAGCTTACTCCAACCTAAGCAGAGTTCTAAATTCTAAGACATTGTTATGCATGATTAAACAAATAGAGCAAGTCAAAAGTGATATGAGCGTAACAATTGAGGATGGTTCTTTGTGCGGGACACTCTTTCTCCCTTTGTCCAGGTTGAAATTCCCGGCAAGGTTTTAATTGAGGCCCATGTTTGCACTCTATCCTCATCATGTTCGTTTGTACGTATTCCCTCTCGTTTCAATGAATATCGTACTTTTCTCAAAAAAGCAGAAGTGCTAAGAGCATGACAAAATTTTGTTTTAAATGTTAAGGGACAAAAATATTTCAAATTTCTTTCTCTCCAAAGTGTTTGGTCATTTCTATTTAGTTGTCTTTAAATCTGTATGACCCAATTTACAGAGCATATAACATGGAAATTGTTTTTTTGTGCAGCTGTGGCTCTTGTGGCTATGAGCTGAACCTAAGTTCCAACAACCGGAACACTTCTACAATTGGCTCTAATAAGTATGGAAAATCTATAAAGCGGGGGATCATATCGTTCTTTAACATCGATGAGAGCAGATTTACTCAGGTTGATGAACTTAAGTGTAAACCCCATTTCTCTAAGCGTTCATGGGGTTTGTTCAGCCGGAGAACTAAACTTCTTTGTCGCAAGTGTGGTAACCATATAGGAAATGCTTATGATGAGTACACTTCATCTTCTTACCCACTTGTGTTAGATGGATCAGATTCATCATCAGGCCATGAAGTTACCAAATGCAGAAAATTTGATGTTAGAATTCGTGCCTTGCAGCCTTCGAATTCTGAAGAATGTGGCACTTCGTTTTTAGAATGACATTTACTGAGCAAGCATACTTGTATGAGGTTATACTCTCTACGGATTGTATCGGTTTTGTGTTTTACCCTTTTGTTAGAAAGTTTACCTGTATATAAAAGTTTTGGAAGACTGAGTTTCCACTTCTACTACCTTGGCTTTGGAAGACTGAGTTTCCAGCCATCTTTAACTTCGGAGACTCTAATTCAGATACCGGTGGATTGGCCTCGTCCCTTTTGGAACCACCCCCTCCTTACGGCGAGACCTTTCTTCGTAGGTCGGCTAGAAGGTTCTCCGATGGCCGCCTCATAATCGACTTCCTGGGTATGTATTTGGTCATCTCTTGATTTTCTCACACTAAGAGAAACTGCTCCTTGTGTTATTCCAACGCTCTTCCTATAGAACATGTTCACATAGGCAGCACACATCATATACTTTGTTCTAGATTGTAAATCATTATCTTTTTCTCTTTTTAAGAAAGCCAAAATTGTGTTTTTTTAATTGTTTCCAACTTGAAATCTCTAACTGTAAAATTAAGATTTCCAGGAGGAATGCTATCTTTATACATGTTTGTAAAATTCAAAGTAGAACTTTATGGTTTGAACCCGTGGAGCCGATTTCTTTTCTGTTGTTGAATCCCGTAAAATTCAAAGTAGAACTTTATGGTTTGAACCCTCGGAGCCGATTTCTTTTCTCTTGAATCCAACATCATAGTTTTCTTGGTGTGTTCCATGTTAAAAGGATCCAATGAACTTTGTGTATGTTTTCCAATAGTTACTTCTCATGGATTGGGGAGCAATGCACTGCTACAATCACTATAAAAAAAAATTCCCTTTCCAGACGTAATAATTTTGTCGGGCTTACTAAGGTCCCATCACCTTTTATTTTGTCCGATGAAATATCGTTATGCAACGTCTGTCATGTAAAACTTGTTGCTCAAATACTTACCCCACGAAATATAATACTTGGTCTGGTAAGTTATGTTTACTCGACAAACGTCGAGTAAAGTACGTTGACTAGTTAGCCCGATACATCTTTTCCTCAGGCACATGGAGATAAAAATATTTTTCCTGACAAAAATTCATCGGGCAGCTAATTTATAGAAAAATATAAAAAAAAATTACAAAATACATGCTTGATAAAATAATTCATCGGGCAAAATTTTTATTTTTATTTTTATATTCATAAATTAAAAAAATATTTATTTTTAATTATATTAAAATAAAAAAATCACAGAAATAAAAAAATATATGTTTAATTATATTAAAATTGAAATATTCGTACAAATGTATGTAAAATATCCTAAACTAACCACTCCTAGGGTGGCTGGAGGGATGGCGGTTGAAGGTCAATTGGAGGATTGAGGAGGCGAATGCTAGAGGCTACCATTGCCTAGGCCATCCCAACAATGTAGCGCTTCAACTCCTCCTCTCTTTGGCCTTGTGCTTCATTTCGCAAGCACGCTTCTTCTCGAGCTTTTTCTTCTTGCAATTGCAAGGCCACTAACTCCATCTCCAACTATTGGAGTTTGGAAGATGTCTGCTTGTAGTATGAGAGCTAGAAGTAGAAAATCTCTCGCGGTCCCAAACTCGACCCACTGCCCAAACTCTGAGGGTGGATCAGTAAAAGCTTCAACAGAAGATGCACAAGTCTAGTAGTACTAGTGCAACTTGTACTTCCACTCCTTAACTGTCCAATCCACACCCGCTTTAAGTACTCGAACATACCTAGATGTTTCATGTCCATGGAGAAGTTGACCTGAAATACACACAAAAAAAACAAGTGTATTAGTTAAAAAAATACATTAAATAAGTAAAAGTAATAAAATAATAAATTAAAAAAATTTCATACTTACCGAGATTTGTCTCATCATCTCATCCAACCTGGGTGAGAGCCTCTCCCATGAAGGGGCGAGCAGGGGCGGGCCTGACCCAACCTCGTGTCGTCCCGATCTGTAAGCATGCCTAGTAGAATTTGTATCATTAACCAAATCAAATTCGAAAAAGAGTGAGTGATCATGCCTTTGTGACAGAGATAGGAGAGAGCAAATAGCAGAGAAAGAGAGTAGAGAGAGCATAGAGTTCAGGAAGCGCCGCGAGGATGAAGAAGAAGAAGGCTCTTGGTATTATAATACAACACACCTCTGCCGGACGGAAAGGTTCGTTGGGACAAGTTTAAAAGTTATGACACCATGTTCCTAAACCTTAAAAGTTCGTTGGGAACACTAACCAAATTCGTCGGGGAAAGTCACTTAAACCTGTACATGTGTGCGGATTTCAATTTTTGACGAAAAAAATGGTGGGAAATAAATTTTGCCTGACGAAATTTTCTAACACTTTAATCTGTGAGGAATTTTGATTTTGATTTTTTGGGAAAAACGCGGGGGAATTTTTACGTTTCCCTCATGAATTTAGCAATGTAGTGTGACGAAATTGTGTATGTTTGCCTAACGACCTATACATATTTAGTCATGAAAACATAAAAAATTTATTTTTTTCCTTACTTTTTTGGTTTAATTTCAAACGGTTAAAAGATCATCGAATTTGATGATCAAGTCAATTCAGTGTGTAGTTAGACTTCAAAATTTCTTACATGACATGTTAATATGACATGAAAACGACCTAAAATAACGAATTTCGGGTTAACACGATAACTAATCGGATTGTTATCGAGTTACTCATTAAGAACTCGTTAATAACGGGTTTGCAAGCAGGTAACACATGGATAACTCTTTTTGACACGTTAAGAAAAAATTTATTTTGATGATTTTAAAGTTAAACTACTAAATAAACTTACTATAAAATACAATAATCATAGTGTATACATTGTTTATTAAATATGTATTATTGTATTATTATTCTATATAAGAAAATTTATTTATTTATTTATTTTTATTATAGAGTTTCTTATTATCATTAATGAGATGAATTTTACTTGAGCTGTTGTCCAAATAAATATGTATTATTGTCCTAAACCCTAAATCATAAACTACACATTTGTGCGGCAAAACCTAGATGGTTCGTCTCGCAAAGGATGCTATACTATGCGCCAATTTTTTCCCTTCGCACTAACCTAACACAGGTAGCTTTGCCCATCGAATTCGTTTTGTCAGGCAAAAGCCTCTGAAGAAACCAAAACGTTGACCAGTTTTGCCCGACGAATGTTTTTATTCTGTCAGGTATAGATTATTTGCCCGACGAAAGTTTGTTCGTTAGGCAAATGACAATTTCTGGTAGAAAACTCCAGAACGACGTCCCATAAATAATACAATATTATGTAGAGAGAAACTTGCACATGTGGTCATATTGTTAACATGGGACACTAGAGAAGACAGGAATCCATGAACTTTAGGCCATATATCCATGCCCAAAATCAAGGTTTAAGTACAAATTTGCTTCTTAAAAGTTTTGAATCTTTGTTTTTTTCACTTTGGCCGTTGAGTTTTTTCACGATTCATTGTCTATTCCAGATGTTTGGCGCAACGGTCCAATACGACAAATAAACCAAACGTAGTCAATTATCTCACTTGGTGTTGTAATTGTTGTCTGATAAACTTTGTGATCAAGTAAAAAGTGTAGGTCACCCTTTTCTAAGCGCATATGTGGATTCTCTTGGGACCAACTTCTCCTATGGGGCAAACTTTGCCACTGCAGGTTCCACTATCAGACTGCCAGATCGCTTCATACCAGCTGGTACGGATTTAGTCTCTTCTACCTCAATAAACAGTACATGCACTTCCTGCAACTCAAATCCAGATCGCAACTCTTAAGGCATAAAGGTGATGTATAAATACAAATTCTATGCAAGAACGTTCAACAAACGTATCCTTTGTTATTGTTTAATAATGCATCAATACTATCTTAGTACATTAGTATAAAACCTTAGTGATATTGACACATTTCTTCTTTAATAGGTAACATATGTCTGTTATAGAGCCGGACTATACTTAGTGCTTAGCAATAATTGTGAAAAATATCTTTACTTAGGAGAAATTAGGTTCTCATCCTTCATTTTGCTACTCCATTGACTAAAATCATATTCATTTTAAATTTTTGATCAAGGTCCTTGGGTATTAATAACATCATTAATTATTTCAATAATAAAATATTTTTTTATTTCTAAATATATTCTTTTAATGTTAAAAATGTTACAATTAGTATATTTATATTTATGACTAAATTTTTTATCATATTATTTGGACCCAAAATTACACTATCGGCCCCAGCAATCGAGGCCGTTGAGGAAGCATACCTCTATATAGAATAGTGAAGATAATTTTATATTAAAAGATAACATTATCTTTTAATAATGATTTATCTTGACATTTTCTTATGAAAATAATATATCTCCAAGCTAAACAGGCGGCACAATTCAAGTTGATGTGGAAGTGTGGTTTGGATTAGTTTTGATTAACAGATATGCCCGACATCAGATAAATGAGGTCACTTGGAAACTACTGAGGGGATTGGATTTTGATCAGATTATTATCCATTTAAATATGGTGATAATTGAAAATGAATTTAATATTCATAAGTTCAGGTTGCATGCGACAATGGGTAAGGAAATGGTGACTTTGGGTGATGATGATGCGACAAGACCTAGAAAAGCTAGGTTTTTTATGGTGGTGTTATGATGACATAGGAAAGCCTAGCTAAGCCTAGGTTTTTAGTCATGATAAGATAAGTCAGAATGGGCTTTTATTATTTTGAAAAGTCAGCCATATGAAGATAGGCTTTGGCGCCTATGCCGTGGATCAGTCATTTTACAAATTTGAGTTTCAGTCTGTTTCTGCAACATTATCTATTGACCGTGGATGGAGACAAGTACTATTAGTTTCTATAAATATAGAGGCGATGTGCAACGTGAGAGGGGCTCCAATTAACAACACAACTGCCACTACACTGCCCTAAAAACGCAAATTCTCTCAACAACTTGAGATTTTTATTTAATCTTTTCACTTACACTGATTCTTCCGTTCGGCATCAAGACAGCACTGTGAAAAGCACTGTGATATATTTCAGTCGGCATAAATTCATAGCTCTGTCACCGTAGATCAGCCAGCCGCGATCTCTCGCAGCATCTTCTTGTCGTGGCGCAAGGACAGGCAATCCTAGTAAGGATTATCTTCGTTTAGAAGGGTTTGAACCTATCCAAGTCTCGGTCGAGAAGATTTCGAATATCCTTATGGGCGAGGTCTTCTTGGTGCATTAGCCTTCTTGGGAAGTAGTCGTGTTACTGCTTTGCTTGACTGAGTGGCTCTGCGCGCATTTGCACGCCGAGTTGTTTTATATGCTGATTGGATACTTCTTCAAAGTGGGGTTTAGAGTTCGTATCATTCAGTATGGCAAGACCAACAAATGTTCGCTATTAAGACTTATATCC